TTAAATATTCTTAATTTCAAGTTATATAGTCACAATTTCGAGTTATATAGTCACAATTCCAAGTTATATAGTCACAATTCCGAGTTATGTAGACACAAATTTTTAGTTTTTAGACTTAAAATTAGAGTTTTAAACAGACCATTCTGGAGATAGTTGCAATTCCGAGTATTAAAATTCAGAATTCCGAAATTCTGACTTTATATCATGCAATTCTGAGACTTGTAAAACTTGTAATTCCAATATATATAGTCAAAATTCCAGTTATAAGCCACAATTCTGAACTAGATAGTCACAATTGTGAGTTATAAAGTCCCAATTCAGTTATAAAGTCAGAATTCAGAGTTACATAGTTGCAATTCAGTTATAAAGTCAGAATTCTGAGTTATTAAGTCACAAGTTTGAGTTATAAAGAAGATTCCGGAGTTCTAAGGCGACTGACCATATATGTGAATGTTGATGACCATGTTCTTTTATTGAACTGAAATATGAACTAATAATACAGCCCTTTATCATGTCTATGTACGATACATATGTCTGCAGCTACCTACCTACACATGCATTTAATATATAGATGATTATTTTTATTGTTTAATGGCGGCAAATGGCTTCCATAATTTTGGATGTTCAAAAAATAAATGTCAAAATATTTTTGAACTGTCAAAAATTTTATATCAGTAATAGTTTTTTTTTAAATCAGTATAATGTATAAGGCTTCGAGATAAATTGTTGACATTGAATATTTTGGTTGATATATTAGAGATCAATGTGGGTTTCATAAACATGGACTATATATATTGGCCAATGTAGAGTTATTCAAAGTTACTTAAATAATGTCTAATGAAAAGGGATGCAATATGGTAAAATTCTAAACTTAACTTTTATTAAAGAAAAAATTATTTAAAAAACAAAATAAAGGAAGTGTTAGCCCAAAATGAAGATTTCCAGTCGTGAGAGAGAGTACAGAAAAATCATACTCAAGTAAAAATACTATTACTTGCCCAAAAATAATCTGTTGCAAATATTCCTCAGAATAAAAAGTAGCCCTTTTAAAAGTGCTCAAGAGTAAGAAGTATTATGATGTGAACGGCTCATGCATTTACATGCAATGTGTGTACTGATGTGTAAACGTAAAATTTTGAAGTGCATTACTAATTGTTTAAGGGAATTTGGTAATTTCATTCATCATAAATTAAACATTCATCTTCTCATAAATGACATGCACTCTATAAAGTCTCTCAATCATTGTGTGTAAAGATTTTAGACATCTTGCACACTTTAATGCTTCATAAATGCAACACATCATTTGGAAGCACTAATGTCTTGAGGTTGCTCAGTATGATGCAATTGACATTGTAAGTGCGATTTGATTGGACAAGAATTACAGGACTGATTAATCTACTTTATTTTTAGCTAATCCTCACAGACGAGAAAATAAATAGTGACTGCAGGTTGAAGAAAATATTGGAGTAAAAGTACCATTACAGCACTAAAAACTTACTTAAAGGAAAGTAAAAGTAGCTACACTTTTTTTAAAAACTACCAAGTAAATTATAATTTTCACAGTTTCTTCTGTTTCACACAATAGATGATATTTTGAAGAAAGCTAAAAACCTGTAACCATTGACTTCCATAGGAAGAAAAACAAATACTATGTTAATCAATGGTTACAGGTTTCCAGATTGCTTTAAAATATCTTTCGTGTCAAACGTTTTAGGTAAACTATCCCTTAAGTATGAAAACATCGATAGTTTAACTTTACAGACTTGTAGTGCATTATGGGGGTTTAGGGAGCAGGACCTTTACCTAAATGCTTAACATTTGCTTCATGCCATCAAGCAGTTTTTAAACAAGAAAGTAATCATCATGTACCTTTACTTTGTCGTCGCTTGCCAGTAGATTGAGTTTTTTCCTCGCAGTCTTCTGTCCAGTGCGCTCCTCCGGTGAACTCCTGCAGTTGTGGCCCGCGTTGAGTCTCTGCCGCTTCTTGGCGCTGCTATGCAGCTCGGCTGTGGACGGAAACAACACCGAACACACGTCGAACTCCGGTGAACTCCGCTTAGGGGTCCTGGGACTCGCCGTTAAGCCCTCAATGTTCACATCACGCGAATCCGCGACGGTTTCTGCAGTCTCCGTCGATAAAGCCTCGTCGATGACTTTGAGAAACTCCAGCTGAGTTTGTTTCTGCGGCTCTGCTGTGGTGATCTCACTGTGCGTCGCTTTGCGTGAAGAACCGGACGCTCTGCTCGAACTCCTCGGTTTATTGATCACCGCTGATTCTACTACATCCCCGGACACCTTTTGTCCCTTAGACCGTAAAGATCGAGAAACACCAGCTTTTTTACTCTGTGCAAAATAATCAGTAACACGAGCTTGAGCCATTTTTCTAGATGAATGAGATCCCTGCACTACTCTGCGGCGAGCAGTGGTTGTTGTTGTCTTACCGGAACTGCCCTTTACTGGTCTTCCCTAGACTAACTTTCGCGCGAAATTGGACCACGTGACTTATGTAGGCAGAGAGTGGCTTTTAAACACGCCCCCTCACACTACCACCACTACTGCTGATCAAACAAGAGATTTACGTAAGTGTAAATGGGCAGTAAAACAATAGTTTTATTCGAGAGAGAATAAAAGACAGAATGTGTTACTGAATGTGTTACTGCATTTTTACGTCAAGAGAAATATAAAAAGCAAAGCGAAACACAATATTTTAAAGAAAATATGTATTATTTTCTTATTTCGTTTTTTATTACTGTACTCCTTTTCTGTTGTTATCTTTGTATGTTTATTATTATACTATTAAAAAATAAAACAGATTTACATCACCAAACTTTTTTTTAACAAAGTAGCCTAACATTTAGCAAGATTCACAGTTACTAACAAACAAATCTGAAATGCGATTTGCGGTTTCTATTTTATTCTATATTTTTAAACAAATTTAGCTTTCATCTTTGTGGAATTAATGGTATTATTTTCCCTCTATTGTATTGTAAATTCGCTGTTTCTTAAGATAAATCAATCATCTTACACAGGAAACCCATTCAGCAGCATGTAACTGTCAAATAGCCTATGCTTGTATGAACACATTCATCTACACAAATATTTGATATATTAGAGAAACTTGGATAGGATATGATAACAATGCCAAAAGTGTATACTAAATTAATGCACGTTTTATTTATTTATAACAAAAAATGTGTTTTTAATAAATAACAAAGACATATTAAATGATAAAATTAAAACACTTTACTCTTATTCATAATTATTCAGTAGTTAAAATGATTTTTATAGTGTGTGTGTAACTTGTATATTAATTTATTTATCTGTATATGTATTTGAAAAGACCTTTGTGCTTCTTTAACCATGCTCTATTGCTAATATTTTTGATGGTCTTTTTAGCAGAAAAAAAACAAGCGAGCCTAATATTTAATAGCCTACCTTAAAAGTGTTTAATTTTTTAAACTATTATAAAACATGCTGGAAAATACCTTTTCTCTGTTAAACAACACTTGGGTGTATATTTTAAAAGTATTACAATTTCACAGGAGAGTTGATCATTTTGACCTGTCCTTCAACAAACCTGCCCAGTACGTTCCTCGTTTTCACCACTAGATGGAGTAAACATAAAAGGCTAAAGAGGACGTCTGTCAGCAATGACACTCACCGTTATGGCAAAGCTAAGAAATTAATAAAATTAATAATAATGTCTTTATTTAGAAGAAATTACGACCTCAGAACATGAGCATAAACCCACAATTTCACTGCACTGAACTGACACTTCATAAAAGTGCAATATAAAATACCACATTTTGAGCATGTGCATAATACACACTCTGAAATGTCAAAACATCCAAAGTTTTTTTTTTTTTTTGCATTTATTGTAATGATCTTAGATATATTTTGTGTCTTATGTATTTGTTCTTCATTAAACTTTCCAAATGCTTATAATAAACATCCAAATTATTTTATGTATAGACAAGAATACCTATTTTACACTAGGCCTGTTTTCTTCTTAGGGATTTAAATGTTTATGTTATTTAAAGTTATATCAGTTTTATCGTCTCAAGTAACTTTTGGCTTGTCTAGATTATATCCAGTTTTGCATAAAAAAGTAACTAACAATTTAAGTCTATATCTTGCTCCTAAAATATAACAACACATAATGTAGATAAAGTCTGCAAGAAATGTTTAAATTGAAGAGAATTAGATTAATTTAGATTATAACAGAAGGTCAGTATTTAGTTCATTCATTCATTCATTCATTCATTCATTCATTCATTCATTCATTCATTCATTCATTCATTCATTCATTTATTGATGCATTTATTTATTTATTTATTACAACTATTATTGTTGTTATTATTATTATTATTATTATTATTATTATTATTATTATTATTATTATTATTATTATTATTATAATTCCTTTAATTTAAAAATAGTGTTATTTATTAGTAGTATTGTTGTAGTTTTTCATTTATGTATTTATTATTATTAATTTTATTTTATTATTTGTTTTTCATTTATTTTTTATTTGATTATTATTTGATTATTATTAATATTTGTTGTTTATTTTTATGAATTATTATTGTTATTATTATTATATTTACTTTATTAATATTGTTTCTATTTATTATTATTGTTGTTTATTTATTATTATTATTATTATTATTATTATTATTATTATTATTATTATTATATTATTATTATTATTATTTGCTTCCTTTTGTGATTTTTTTATTATTGTATTAATCTATTATCACCATATTTCTGTATGTATTGTTTGTATATTGCATGTTTTATTGTCATTTGCTTTGGGAATGTTTATTGGACCAAATTTGTAATTAAATGCCTAAAAAACAATGAAGTTTTAAAAAAGCGGAAATAATAAACATGAACCAAAGGTCTGAAATAACAAAGAAACTCTATAACTGGTTTTCCTCTGTTTTGGAAGTTGAAAGGCCACGGGGTGTCAGATTGTTGCACGAGTCGTATTTCTCAGTAGAAACTAAGTGACGTGACTGCTCTGGCACAAGTTATTATCTATCGTCAGAGAGGGAGTTACTTTCAACTAACTGTTGGGACGCGGCTCGGACTACACAGAACAAACTCTCTTTATGAATGTTGTGACATTGTAATACAGTTTGTGGACATTCTCTTGTGCACTCGGAGGTAATTAGACCAACTTTAGAGCGGAAGAAAGCCTGAAGAAAGTTTACCAAACGCCGAGGCGGTGAATCACATTTTCCATAAAGATGTACAATGAATAATGGACTTTCATAAAGCAGGTTTTTATCGAAACAATTAAGCGCGACGTCTTAAGACAATGTTTGTTCATTTGTAAGAAGGCTTTGCTGGTGGCGTTTTAATAGTTTAATCGATGCTCTATCCTTTTAGTCGTTTTATCGATTAGTACCGACGTTTTAATGTTAGTAAACTGATAGTAAAAGCCGAGAGAGTTCGTATTCGCCATGTAGCGTGTTTCCTCGCCTGTGTTTGGAGATGTGGATTTGTGTCGTGGGAGGAATGTGAGTGGAAGTGTCGCTCATGGAGCTTCAGGTGGTATGCGGATTGCTCTACTGCTGTCTGCTGCCCATCTTTTTACTGGCAGGTAAGATCTCAACGTGTTCTCCTTACACCTTTTATGACAAATGCTTTCCTCCTATTTTTTATTTTATTTATTTATTTATTTTTTGCTCTATTTGAGTTAACTTAAACATTTTAGCTGTGCAGGTCATAAATAAGTTGGAAAATGTTCCTGAAAATAGTAGCAGCAAATTCTTACGAATTTTGTTTTCATGCTGTTGTTGTTTTTTTTTCTTCTGTGTGGTTTCATACATTTAGAAATGTTAAATAGTAATTTATTGGCTCAGAATGTTTTTACCATTAAGTTTTGAATACCCTCATACTTGCATCATTTAGATTAGAGATGCTCAAACTAGGGCCCACGGGTCAAAGTTTGCCCATGGTAATCTTTGATGTGTGAGAGAAGAGAGGGACAGGTACACTGGAAAACCTAATAAGTTAAGTCAACTCAAACCATTTGAGGAAACCAATTGCTTCAACCCATATAGGTTTAAAAACTAATCCTAATGAGTACTGTGAACTTAATGCATTTGAGTAAATGGAGAAATTTGAGCACAGTAAAACCCAATAAATAAATAAAACTCAAACCAACTGAGTGCTGTAAAACCCAATAAGTTAAGGCAACTCAAACAGTTTGAGGAAACGGATTGCTACAAACCATTTGAGTAAAAAACTAATCCAAATGCGTACTGTGAACTTTCTTCATTTAAGTTGAAGTAATGAGGTATTTAATTAACTCATTACCTTCAACACTGAGTTCAAAACTCTTTTCAAATGAGTAGAATTAACTTTCAGTAAATTTTAAGTAGAATACACTCATTTCATTTATAAAGTGGACTGTTGGGTTTTACAGTGTATTTATTTATATACATTAAACAGATATTGTCATTTCTGATTTAACTTAAAATTTCATTTGATTAAGTGGACATTTGGTTTTTACAGTGTACTGTTACTTGACAGATAAAGGACAATGCACAAGACATTGGCTACTTGACTGGTGTATGCAGCACTGAACTCCATGTTATACCATGAATTATTTGCTTTCATTGTAATAAATCCATAATAAGAGTAATATAATGCATAAGATAATGCAATTCTACAATGTTTTTGCTATTTACTTTGAAATATTACGAAATAAATGAGGAAATTACCCTTGGCAACTTTAATGAAATGCAGTTTGCTATATTTACCTTTGGCCCACAATACTCTATCAAGTTTGTTTTTTTGGCACATCATAAGAAGACGTTTGGACACCTCTGATTTAGATATTATGCTATTTTAAAGGAATATATGTATAGAGTTGCCGGACATGTGGGTATATATATAAACACACACACACACACACACACACACACACACACACACACACACACACACACACACACACATATATATATATATATATATATATATATATATATACACACACACACACACACACACACACACACACACACACACACACACACAACACCCATTATTGCTTTGTAGGACAAAATGAAAAACCTTTATAATCAATCAATGTTGACTACTATATAATCACACGCATACACAGACATGACATTTTGCATAGACTGCAGACTGGCACCAAATTTTAGACAAAATAAAACAGTGTTCAGCTTTTATATTCACAATGGTTTTTGGAAGTGTAGCCCTGATTAGGCATGTGACAATATTGGTTTCAAGGTTTACCGCGGTTTGGCAAAGTCAAGGTTTTAAAACGCCAACATTTTCTGTTATACTGTTCCAAAGGTATATGTAAGTTGTTATTCACAACTATTTTATTTAGTTTTTTAGGGCAATTGTACATCCAGCAGAAAAGGAACTTCTACATTAAAAGCTACTCTTCAAAATATTTTAAATGTTTCTTAATATAAAATATATTGTGTTCAATGGGGCTGTTCAAAGTCATTGTTTTTTCCCCCCCCAGACATTAAAAAAGAACTTATTTTGGAGCAGTAATCACAGTACCATGAATCCGTGATATTTTTATCCAAGGTTATCATACCGTCAGAATCTTACACTGGCGTATGCCTAGCCCTGATCAATTACTAATAAATGAATCAAATCCTGCGAAAGTAAAGAAGACAAATATGTGTAAATGACTAAAAACTAAGCTCCATGTGCTTGGTTATTTCATTGGCTGACCATCATTTATTTTAGAATTGAATGCATTGTTAAATAGTTAAGTATACAATTATAGTTAAGTGTATTTATTTATTAAAATAACCTTAGGCGTTTCACTCTTGAACATCAGCTTCACTTCTTAAATGTGCCCCACTGACTGGGTGGGTGATCTCACTTCATTCAGGTGTTTGTTTTGCAGACACACCCGAGAAGCGCATTTCCTCTGGGCCCAAACGTAGTTAAGGATACATCAGGCATTCCTGCTGTGTGCATCGCTACTCACAGCTGTTTTCTTCCTCAGACCTGTTTTTAACTGTCTCCCCTCACAGCTCTTTTCCTGCTTGATTTGCTTGCATTCAACCAGGAATGAACACTTTTAAGCTCGCGTTGTTTAATCCTGTCTCCCATGAAGAGTGCTATTATGTGTTGTTGGGTTTCTTTCGCACTTGAAGTTGTTAACCCAAGGGTCAGAGTTCTAATTGGGTTGCTAATTAATCCTGTCATTTTACTCTGTAATCCTTGGTTTAAAACAACATTTTACAGATTTATAGCATTAAAGGGATAGTTTACCCAAAATTCAATTTTATTCAACCATCTCGTCACAAACTTTCACACATTTCTTTCTTCGGCTGACAAAAAAAAAGAAGTAATTTTAAAAAGAAAAACTGTAACCATTGACTTCCCTAGTATTTGCTTCTCCTACTATGAAAGTCAATGGTTACCCGTTTTTGACATTCTTTAAAATATCTTCTTTTTTGTTAAATTGAAAAAAAGAAAGTCATAAAGATTTGTAACCATCCCTTTAATGATCCTAGTAATGGTGTGATTTGGAAATATATTAGACCTTATGACATCACATATACAGTAACTATGTATATTGTATATTATTGTATATATTGTGTATATTGTATATATGTATATATTGTATATATGTATATATTGTATACAGTATGTATATTGGCTTTAACAATAATGGTAGCTTGGCTGTATGTCATCCATTCATCCATGCATCCATCCATTTATCCATCCATCCATCCATCCATCCATCCGTCCATCCATATTTTGTTTACTGCGATATATATTATGATATGAACGATATAAATATTATAATGACTTAAATGGTCAAGTAATTTTTGCATGAATCTGCATAAATTATAAAAAATTACAAGCAACAACAAAATAAATGAATAAATAAATAAATACACAGTGCTTTATGGCTTTCTACGGAGTCTAACAGTATTAAAGTACAGAAATTGAACAATCATCAATATAACAGATGTACAGAAGAAATAACACATACACACACACACACACACACACACACACAGACACACACACACACACATATATATATATATATATTAAAAAAAAGATTAAATATAATATCTGTGTCTTTTTATCTTTAATACATAATTTAATTCTGCAATGTGACCATTGCAGATACACTGATGGCGATATCAGTGCTCAAAAAATGTATTGTTCAGCCCTACTCAAAATATCCAACACACTCTATGGATGCATTTAATCTTTAAATAATAATAATAAATGTGTGCCCATCATACACTACACAGCATTTGCAGACTGACTTTCTCTGAATAGTTATTAATAAATTAATCAATATAACTGCAGAAGCAAAATTGTAAAATAGATGTCTAAAAACAAATCTCGATGTGCTTTGATATTTTATTGGCTAAGCATCTTTAACTTTAGCAACGGATACATTGTTAAACAGCTAAACAAGTCTTTACACCCCATTATTTCACCTTTAGTCATTTATTGTTAGCACTGCAGGGTTTTGGAAGCTAGAATTGAAAACTGTGCTAAAAAGTATGAAACATGGGCATTAATAGCACTGGGTTAAGCGTAGTGTGAAAAGCCTCTGTTTGCTGTCGGGCCAGACAGGTTTCTATATTTAACTTTTCACCCCTGGCTGTAAGAAAAATATATAAACCTAGGGGAATGTTATAGAGTGACATCTTGGCATGTGTCTTAAACAGATCATATAAAAGTGTCCCGGGCAGGTAAAGATTAGCCAGTGGCAGACTGTTGACAGGATATTGTCTGAACATGTGGTTTGTCATGTCATGAGGGACTCATGTGGCACAGGAAGAATCGCAATGTGCAGCAGATGTCTCGGGCTCTCCTCAGACACACGCATGCGGTCAACCAGATTTGTGAAGCTCCCCACGTGCTCTTCAGTGACAATTGAACTTTCATTTAAAAAGCTTTTATTTAGTCTTTTATTTAAAGGAGACCTTTTATGTCTCCTTTTACAAGCTGTAAAACAAATCTCTGATGTCCCTAAATTGTGTTTGTGAAGTTTCAGCTCAAAATAACACAGATAATGTTTTATATCTCTTTAAAACTGCCACTTTTAGGCTTTGATCTAAATTGTGTTGTTTTCATAACTGTCACTTTAAAATCAAATGAGATTCTTCTCGTTTATAAGGGGTGGAGCTACAAATGCCTATGTGTCAGCATAGTGGCAGATTTAAAACAGGACTAACCTTATGTCTGTGAAAACTGAAAATGTCAAAAAAAGTGTTTCAGAAGAAGGCAGATTATAGAGAAAGCTGCACAATATTGGTGGTTTTTCTGCGATATTTAATGCAATATGAATATTATTTCACAAGATGATCCTATATGGAAGCAATTCCTTATTCTATAATGACTGGAATCATTTGTAGGGGAGTGCATTTGCATAAAATATACAAACTAAATTAAACTAAAGCAAAGATGAAACAACAAACAAAGATAAAAATGAGTTAAATCACACGTTATGAGTTGGTTGGTTTTCAGTTGGAGTTTAACAGTATTGAGGTAAATAAATTCAATAATAAAATAACACTTCATAATGTTTATTGTATTGAATAATTAACATTATTTATCTTTGTTAAC